TATGCGAAACAACGATTACTAATGTCGATCACCCGACTTCAGGGTAGTGAGTAAGTCGACAATAAAGTGAGTGTAACAGATCCGATATCGCTGTTCTAAAGAATCTACAAGAAATCTGTACGTCTTGGTTCGTGATCGGAAGTCAACACTTGAATCTTGATTTCTTACAAACTGTTGTCTTTGTGCTTGAACTGAAGTAGATACACTTAAATACTGTTGTCTTTGTTATTGTACTTTAGTAGATACACTTAAATACTGTTGTCTTTGTGCTTGAACTGAAGTAGATACACTTAAATACTGTTGTCTTTGTGCTTGAACTGAAGTAGATACACTTAAATACTGTTGCCTTTATGCTTTTACTGAAGTAGATACACTTAAATACTGTTGTCTTTGTGCTTGTACTGAAGTAGATACACTTAATTAATGTTGTATTTATGCTTGTACTGAAGTAGATACACTTAAATACTGTTGTCTCTGTGCTTGTACTGAAGTAGATACACTTAAATACTGTTGTCTTTGTTATTTTACTGAAGTAGATACACTTAAATACTGTTGTCTTTGTTATTGTATTGAAGTAGATACAGTTAAATACTGTTGTCTTTGTGCTTGAACTGAAGTAGATACACTTAAATACTGTTGTCTTTGTTATTGTACTTTAGTAGATACACTTAAATACTGTTGTCTTTGTGCTTGAACTGAAGTAGATACACTTAAATACTGTTGTCTTTGTGCTTGAACTGAAGCAGATACACTTAAATACTGTTGTCTTTGTTATTGTACTGATATAGATATACTTAAATACTGTCGTCTTTGTGCTTGAACTGAGGTAGATACACTTAAATACTGTTGTCTTTGTTATTGTACTTTAGTAGATACACTTAAATACTGTTGCCTTTATGCTTTTACTGAAGTAGATACACTTAAATACTGTTGTCTTTGTGCTTGTACTGAAGTAGATACACTTAAATACTGTTGTCTTTGTTATTGTACTGAAGTAGATACACTTAAATACTCTTGTCTTTGTTCTTGTATTGTGTATACGCTTGCATGATGTTGTCCTTGTTCTTGTACTAAAGTATATACGCCGTCGTGCTTTAATTTTTGTTATTGTATTGAAATAAACATTGCAAACTGTTCTATTTCTTTATCTATTGAAGTAGACACTATGTGCCTTTTTCTTTGTTTTTGTATTGAAATATGTACACTTAAATACTGTTGTTTTTGTACTTGTACTGAAGTAGACACTGTCATGTTATTATATTGTGTTTGTGTACATTGAGATAGACACATGAAGACGTTGTTTGTTGTTTGTGTACTGACACCTGTAAGATGTTGTCTTTTGTTCGTGTACTGATATTTACATGTATGTTGTTGTCTCGTGTTCCTATACTGACACTTGTAAGATGATGTCTTTTGTTGGTGTGCTGACACTCTTAAGACGTTAATTAATTTAATTTTATCTTTATTTTGGTACTGAAATAGACACTTGCATGTTGTTGTTGTTTTTTGTACCAAAGTCATTCTAGAACATTGTTTTGTGAATGGTTTTTAAGATTATACACTTGCATGCTGCTCTGTCATGTTCGTGCATGGCAACAGTTTCATTTTGCACGCGCTGTGATAGTGTGGAAACAAAGTTCAGATTTACAGGAAGACGTTAGTGCTTCCGAGATAGAATATCCATTAACATAACTAGCAGGAGTTGGAGAACAAAAGAACAAAATAATGCTTAAGTTTTGTAGGAGACATAATTAAAATGTTCTTTTCTTTCTTAGACTTGAAGTTTATGTGATACATACATTCAGTAAGCCTAAGTCCTATTTAATAATTGATGACACATCACAAACATCCGAGTAATTTACGTAGAACTATTAAAATATGACTTACCTAAAGGCACTATTTTTTTTTTAATTCGTAAGGCATAATTATTCTACATTCAGTCTGGTGTAGGGCAGCACGTGTGATTTACCTATACAGCTGGTGTTGGATACACTATGTTCACACAGGCAGTTGAATCACCCACTGCTTGAAACTCGGTGCTTTTGTTTTCTTGTGTTTAGTTTCCGTAAAATTTCATTAAACTGGCTTTAACTTCTAGGAGGAGGTAAACTTGCTAATCTCTAATAATAAAGTCGCTTTCTGTCCGTCAGAATGAAATAACAAAGTTTCTAAAGTCTGTATGGTCAACAGCTGGAGTAGGAGCCAGATATCCAGTCCGTGTAAGTAGCTTACAACCGTGTCATGAGTGCTGTTCGTGTTCCAGTGGTCACAATTATATATTTTTCAAGCTGTTCCTCGTCATTCAGCAAGAGTTTTTGCTTAGAAGAAATACATGTGAATGTTAACATTCATGATGTTAGAAAAACACGTAGGTTCAAGAAATCTTGATAGAAATAAATAAAAACCCTAACACCCGAGCGCTTTCGAAAGGTGGACCTTTCTTGTTCAGGGTCAAACTGGGAATGTTAATGTTAACAGATGTTTGGATCTTGCCAATCACTTGAACTTGAAGAGTCGGGAGCAAAAATTAAATGGACTAAGAGTGAATTAAAAGAAATAAAAACTTTGTTTAAGAGAACAGTTTTGTTTGTTTGGAATTCAGCACAAAGCTACACAATGAGCTGTCTTTGATGTGCTCACCACAGGTATCGAAGCCAAGTTTTTAGTGTTATAAGCCTTCAGACTTACTGCTATTCTAACTTGGGGGGCCAGGGAGTACTTGATGATGTCCAATAGGTTCACCTCTGGAAAAGACCAGTGCGAAACAATGTAGTCCTAGTTTCAGTTGCTTATCTTATTATTCGTGAAAACTAAAGAAAAAAGAAGGAATGAAGTCTTTGTCACTTCGGGGTGACACAACCTTTTTATAATTAAAATATTCAATTAAGGTGTTGAATTTTTTATGGAAAAATGTATATTACAACTTTTTTTTTAAATTCGTCAAAATAGAACGCATTTTTGAAATTAAAAATAAATCTTTTTACTCGAGGATGAAAAATAATTCGCTTTTGTGTATGTTTCATCTGTCAAGAGATGGCGCTGTAAAGATTCTAACTATGATTGTGACGTATAGAACCAGTCTTATACAATAGCAAAGTGTTAAATTATTACAGAGAGATATACACACACATAACATCAAAGATACGTAGTTATCACAATATATCTCTTGTTTGAGGAAAATCTGTATAAAGTAAAAGTTTCCTCACTTTCATATGTACCTTCACCGAGGGTAAACAACCCTAGCAAAATCTAAACCAGGGCGCAAAACTTCTTTACAGCGAAAATAAAAAAAAGAAAGAAAGAATAAATAATACATAGAAAGAAAGAAGTAATAGAAAGAAAGAAAGAAAGAATAAATAATACAAAGAAAGAAAGAAGTAATAGAAAGAAAGAAAGAAGTAATAAAAAGAAAGAAAGAAAGAAGTAATAAAAAGAAAGAAAGAAAGAAGTAATAAAAAGAAAGAAAGAAGAAATAATACAAAAAAAAAGAAAGTTGCTGCGCTCGTGTTTTTTTATTGTTATGCATTCTAATAGGTTAAGAAAGTAGAAATTTACCAATAAGTCACACGTGCTACTGCTGTTCTCTAAGGTAAATGTCCCTTTTTTGAGTTCACAGTTTGCTCTTTTTTTAAACTTACACAGCGTGGTCACAAGTAAATAGACACCACCTTTTCAGAAAAAATTAAATTTTTCAGTCATATTCACATGAATTGATATATTTATAATTTAATTAATATCTAGTAGATCTTCCTTTTGCTTCGCGGTGTTC